AAGATATTCATTCTTAAAAATAGTCTTACCTAAATAATTAATAAAAATCTATCTACTAAAAATATATAAATTTAGCAAGCAATGTAGAAAGAGATCAATCAACTTACCTAGCATTAATTAATATTCAAGTTATTTCTAACTTTTAACATTCATTAAATATAAAATGGAGGAAATAAAAAGAAAATTTTGGAAAATATGCTTTTTCTATTTTTATATTTTTAGATTTATTCTTAAAAATTTAATATGTTTGTATGTTTGATTACTCTATTATAAACTACTTTTTATGTTTCATTTTTGGTTTGTTGTGTAAAAATTAATTGAATTTAAATTAACTAAAACAAAATAAATTTGTCTTAAATTAATTTAAATTAAATTAAATATGAACTTAACCATTTAGTTAATTTTCTAAGTGTAGAAAATTTTAATTTATTACTTGTTTTAAGCTTTTTGCAATTGAATTTACTTTTCTTGCTCTTGTTTTTGCTTTTGCTTTTTTAAAGCTTCTTCTTCCTTGATTGTTTAATATTAAGATAAAATAATAAATTATTTGTAATAATTTAATTGCTTTCTAAAAAACTTACTTCCTTTTTTTTAATTTGCTATTAAGAAACGAAAGGTTAAAATGAATTCAAATTCTAAATATTCTGCTTTTAATTAGATTATGCTTTCAAATCATTTTCTAATGTTTTTTGAGTCTGCTTTAATTTTTCTATTTCTTATTTTAGCAAGATAATTGTTTGATTTGACTCAACTGTTGTTGCTTCCAACTAAACTTTTTGATTTCTAAGTGCTTTTAATTCATTTTCTAATTGCTTTTGAATATCTTTAAATGATTTAATTTGTTATTCTAATTAGATATTTGATTGGCGTACCTGAGAGATTATTGCATCCTATAAAATATATTGAAAACATTATTAAATTACACAATTTAAAAATAACAATAAGTTAGAATTGATTATACCTGTCCTTACTATTGCTTTGAGAGGATCTCTTAGATGAAGTCCTATTCCTTTTTACTAGAAAACATGTTAAGAATAG